TTGATGATGTGGGCAGTGCGCTGGGTTTGCTGACGAGACGGCGCTTCGAGCCTGCTTCTACTGTCAATGATGTGTTGCTTGCAGTAGTTTGGTGCGATTTGCCCACAGTGGAGACTCCTTCAAAAAGCATCAAGGTCTGAGAGATCTGAACCAATGCCGTTCGACCAAATGACAGGTAAAGCACTACAAGGCATAAGTGTGACCAAAGTATGTAGACACAAACGGCAGCTTCTCAAGCCACTTATATGCCGTCATGTGCATGTGCATGTGACCTGCGCCTTTTGTGTGTACTGACTGCTACAAGCATGCTGCTGGTCCAAGTCTTGAATGCATAAGCGCGCTGCTTGCACGTTGGAAGCACAAAGCAGCTGCTGCGAGCGCAGCTGCTCTTCTTAACTTCTTGACAGCTGCGGTTGGTTGACTGTTTGCAAACGACTAAGTTGTTAAAGATGTCTAAAGCAGCGAGCAGTGCGGTTCTTACTTTCGTTGAACAGCTCTTTCATTGAACAGGAAAAGACATGGCCTGAAGCATTGCCCCGGATCTAATCCATCGGGTCACAGTCATGGATGAGTCAACCCCTGAATCATCATGAATGGCGGCCTCAACGTCCCACTCTTGCACCTGTCTCGCCTCCTGGCCAAGAAACGCTAAGCCACGATCAAGGTCTGAGACACTGTGATGTTAGTGGCCCTTCCATTTGAGCCATGCAAGAGTGGGCAGCGAAGCACATTTTAGCCACGAACACAGCCGGCTGATGTAATACTGAGTGTAGTCAAACATGCAAACCGCCAAGGAACACCCCTAAACTCTGAATCCTTCTAAACCCTAAACCATAAACCCGAAACCCAAACCCTAAACCCTAAGCCCTAAACCCTAAATCCTAAACCTAGCCTCGCGCCGCTCACAGGCCCCACCTTCTCCTGGGGATCCTCGGCAACCTGAGCCCGGCCTGGTACAAGTTGAGGGTTTCGGCTTAGGGCGCTTTCGGGTTTCAGCAAAGGTCCAGGGACGCCTCCTACACATATGTGTGTATATTAATGAGTACATGTTTATATCTACCTGTGTATGTATATATGTATATATATATATATATATACGTATAGAAATATGTGTATATATATGATATATATATATATACTCTACCCCCCCCCAGCGACCTACCCTTTTTAGGCCTTTTTAGGCCTTTTTAACAAAAAACAACAACGAGGGCCCAAAAGTCGCGTAGTTAATCACCGGGTAATGAAGGACTGTTACTGGGACACCCACCTCACAGACCCCGATGAGCCAGCATTGGATTAATCTACATTTTGAATCTGAAGCGGACAATGCTGTATTTAGATGTTTAGATCTGTGCTTTTTCTATGCAAATTGTGCGTTTAAAAGGGCAATTAATGTTTTGTTGAGCAAATAAATTATTTATACAATTGTGTTTGTACGAGGAAAAGTATTAATCAAATAGTGAAACATTTTTCTTGATTCTATGCGAATTTAACTACTAGAGTAATTATTAAGCAAAGAGCCCAATTTGACTCAAGTGAATACTATTTAAAGGAGCATACCCAACCAAGATACGAAATAGACACCATTCTCAACCAAAATATGGCAAAGTGTGCGTTTAAAGGGCAAATAATGCTTTGTTGAGCAACGACTGTATTTATACAATTGTGTTTGTACTAGGCAAAGTATGAATCAAATACTATCTGAAAAGTCCACTGAAATACCTTATGTTTACATATTCACGAAGCTTTTTATTTTTGAAATAACCATTCTATGCAAATTTAGCTACTAGAGTAAGTATGAAGCAAATAGCCCAATTTGACTCAAGTGAATACCACCATTTAAAGGACCACTTATATACTATGTCTGAAAAGCACAATTTGCATAAGCAAGATTAAAAATGCACAATAATGGAAATAGAAGGGGTTCTACTTACATAACGATGAAACAAGATGTGTGAAGTATTCAATAAAGACCACTTATATACTATGTTTGAAAAACACAACTTGCACAATCAGGCTTAAAAAATGCACAAGAAGGCCATACACAAGCAAATTCACAAATACAAAAAAACATCCAAAAGCGCAAGCTTTTCAGAAGAATCTCTGGTGAAGTTTGGATTATAGGTTTTTGGGTATCCCTGGACGAGTAGGAGTCACTTTTTAAGCAAACAATTCCAAGCAATAAATGCTTTTTCTCAAGACAAGTATTGCAAATGCTGCTTCTAGATCATTAATCGCTTTACCAGGCAAATATTACCCATGCGAACTGAGCTACCAGAGCACCAAGTAATGGCTGAAGAAGGTCTACTACACTTGAGTACAACCAAAAGATGCACTAAACACTAGTTGAAAAAGAAGCGAAGCGGTTCTACGTACATAATAACGAAACAAATAGTTCTGAAACACTAGAAAGACCACTTGTATACTATTCTGAAAAGCACAATTAGCACAAGCACACTTAAAAGACCGTGAAGGCGAACCAAAAAGCAAAATACCAAAACCAAAAAAGCCAAAAATACTAAAACCAAAAAACCAAAAAAAACAAAACCAAAAACACCAAAAAAAACAATTTTCCGGGACTCTTGGAGAAGCCTCATAGGGATTCCTGAGAGTTCCGGAAAATTGGTGTTTTTTGCTTTTTTGTTTTTTTTTGGTTTTTTTGGTTTTGGTATTTTTGGTTTTTCTACTGTCCCGTGTATGCGATTTTAGTTGTATTTTGGTCTACGCCCTAGGAAATACGCTATATTGCACACCGAGTTTGCTTGCAGCGCAGCAGGGTGACTTGAGACAAGGCGAAAAAGGGTAGGTCATCGGGGGGGGGGGGGGGGGTACCATATATATATATATATGTACATGTATACTCACAGCACTATATGTGCATTTACATATATGTACGTATGTATTGTATGCCCATTTATATGGCACTAAGCTGTAGTCATCTGATACATCTACTTCAATGAGTTCAGTGTGCAATTAAGTGGGCTTAGGTAGGTCCGCTGGGCATGGAACAGGCTTCATTTCAACTGATCTACTTGCTCGGGCATCTTCATGGAGCGGCACAGTCGCCTTTCTTGGTGAAGTCCATTTACCCTTAGCACTGTGTACTTGCAAGGATGAGCCTCATGTGGTTGGACCTGGCTACAGTTCAGTAAATGCTGAAGTAGCAGAATGATGTTACAGGAACTTGTGGTGTGCGCGGTTCGTCATGGAAGTTGCTCGTAGTTCAAATTCTTGAGATTGTGAAAGAGGAGGTACGGCTTCACTAGCTCACCTCCTGAAAACCACTTACTTGGCTTCACCACACGAACTCTGGTCTTCATCTGTCCTAGCTGCGCTTCATGAAACTCAACCTCCTGTCAGCCCATCCGGCCACGAAAAGTTTAGGGTTTTGGGCGGTTTAGAGTTTAGGGTTCTTGGGTAAGCCGGAAGAATTTAGAGAATGCATTCGCAATTCACGAGCCTGGGGCGGTATCAGTTTCAGACAAATTTAGCTGCTTAGTTATGCATTGCAGCGGCAAGCTGTGAAGAGGACTTCGTCTTACTTAACCAACTGTTGCTGGAAGAAGTGAGGCTTGGCCTGAGAGATCTTTTGGAACTTGTATACGCATTAAGAACCATTCAACCGACGAGCTGTCGTGTAACTTGTGGCGTTCAACCAAAGTCAATAAGACGGAACTGGTTGGACCTGCGTTAATCCAATTGGAGTAGTTGGGGCTGTTTGATGTTTAGGCCGACACGGGTATGTATATGTGGATAGTGGATACGATGACCCTTCGTCAACAATTAGCCAGAGTAAGTCCAGATCCCTCTTCAGTGAGACACAAGAATTAGCGACATTTGTTAATTAACCTGCAAAGCTCGTTGGTCCAAACTCGGCTTGCGTGCTATCCCTTTTCACCCTGTGGCCGCCTTTGCTGGCACTGGCCAACTTGGCTGCTACTGCGGATGCAGCTGCGTGTCCTCCCATGAGAAAGGCCGCAACAAGCTGTTAAAAACCTCACCCGAGAAAGATGACCGCTGAAAAAGACACGTGGTGCTATTTCCTGCCTTGAGATGGGTTAGAGCACTCGTCCCTGGAGTTGGAACATGGGCTTCCACGTCTAGGTGCATGCAACACCGCTGCATGCCGATGGCTGGCGCGCGCATTGGGCTAGCAGCCCGAAAGTGAAACTGTTCCAGGAATGTGGCGTGCTTGTGCGTGCCTACGCTGCGCGGGGCTGAGTTGCGAGCCCAGGGTGTTCTATCAATGGAAGCGCAGCCGCACATACAAAGAGCCATTCTAGCCGATGTGTGGCGCCTCCTCCGTCTGCCATGGCTGATCAACCATGCATCGCAGTGGAACAAGCGGAACAGCTCAAAGGCAACCCCTTGCCCGTTGACATGCACTGGCTGCTGGTTCTTCAGAAATACAAAATTCCTCTCTGCCCTGACCGTTTACTGAACTACAATCGCTACGGGTACACTGGCCACTGCTCCATGCATGGTAATCATGCCTGGCCAGCTGTGGACAGTATTTCCACTATTGCTCTTGCTCTGATCTTCCTCATCTGCCGCTATTGCAAGCTCTAACCTTGAGAGCGGGCTCGGAGCTAGCACTTGCAGAAAGTCCCTTGGAGGGTTAGGGTTGTTGTTCGGGTCTGAGTCCGTAAGATACACCTCAAGGGTCAGAGGCAAGCCTGGCGACGGACATCAGAAGAAAAAACACCCACGAAGGCAGCAGGTCCGTTGCTCGCGAGATGAGACCGAGAGGCTTAAGGTCTGCACTTCCGAAACGTAAGAATGGGACGGGGACTTTCCATAAGGCTCCCCGACCACCACCCCCGCCGGGCCTTGAAGCCTGGACGTAGCGGGTATAACGAAGGCTCCATTGATAACTGAGGTCTCCAGAAGACTAACAGGAAACTTGTCACCACGAACGATGGCGAGAGCTCCAACGCTTTCGTGCATACCGAGAAGCTGACATGCTTGACACAGGTGCAAAAGGCACCGGCGTTTTTGCTCTATGTGTGGCCCCGCGTTCCCGAATGCTCAGCGTCCCAAGCATCCTGCGAGCACCATGGCAAGTCAAGTCGTCAGGCTCTGTGGAGTGGCAAAGCGCACTGGTACAAGAAGGAAAAGTCTGCTCAGCCCTACTGGGGCGCACCAGCACATTCCGCACTTCGAGCAGAAGCCGCTTGGCTTCCACTTTTGCCTGAGGACCGACCAATGGAGATCATCAGCTGCTCGCATCGGCTTACTATGACGTAATTTCCGAAACTTCCTGCGTTCGACCTATCTGTACTGTACCGTTATTGTCATTCCCATTCTCATCGCCTTTGTTGTTGATTCATACTCCTTCTTGAATTTGCACTACCATTCTGGGCAAGCATTCCTGTCACTACTTTGAAAGACCAGGCTCTGAGAAGAACCAGACTCTGAGTCGGGCCTCCATTTCCAGGCTCTTCTTGAGTCTTCCCTCGAGCTCTGCGGCCTGTCGGTCCTTCGTGCTGTTGAGTTTCAGGGAGGTGGGGCCGAAGGGAAGGTCTTACATCCCATAGCCTGAGCTCCAAATTTGCCTCCCAAGTGCTTGCACGGTCTTCGCCCCCTTTGCGGGCGGTCTGCATGGAAAGAAAGAGGGCCTCCGCAGCACGCAGCTCTGTCAGCTCGCGCTGCAACTCAACCTGCCTGATTCGGATTCTTTGGGGCTTACGGATTCTTTAGGGCTTAGTATGGTATATGATGGTCTTCTATAGCAAAAACTCGATAGCACCTATAGCATCTTTCATTAATTCTATTCTGCTATAGATGATATATGCTCCTTTGAGGCTCACACACAGAAGCTACTGTCAGCAGTCCTACACACAAAGGACTGCGCGCCTCACGAGCTGGAGGCATAGTGCCTTGCAAAAAGACTTTCCGTAGGGGTACTTATGCGGACTTTTGAGGCTGGTCAGCGACTTGGCTAGGTTTTGAGGTTGCGAAAGGCGTTAAACATGAACGGGATATGACTCAAAAAAACCGGGGTTCATCCAGAAATGGTTTGGTGCAAACCCATGCTTCTTCCCTATGGCTGAGAGACATCTCCCAAGCAGAATGTCACAGGGCTTGCCTGACACTGTGGTGCTGCCAGCGCTGCAGAGCCGGAGAGTGTTTGGAGCCGATTTGCCTCCTGTCAAGGAGTCAAGGCACGGAGCGGTTTAGGAAGTTTGGGGTTCACTGGAAGCGTTTGGGTGACAGTCGAGAATACTGCATCTTTAAAAACCTTTCTTGCGCGCGCACTGTGCCAGGCCTTGTCCAGTCCGCAGGCCTCCAACAAGGACATTATCTTCTGGCCTTGATTGAAAGATCGTGCAGAATCTTTTTCTTTGCTTGCCGAGGCCAAGTGCAACCCCACGAGGAATGATACACAAGGAAGAAGTGGCCGGGCTTCCTTCTCAAGACGAGGCACTGCGCAAGCCGTGCTCCCGTGTTTCGGCCATCATGTCTCAACATGTCTAGCCCGCATGCTTAAGGCAGTTCAACGTGGAACGCACATGAGAGCAGTATTCTGAAGCCATCGCTGGATGTCACTGAGACTCGGACGCTTTGCGCCGCGGCGGGCGGCGCCCGCTGTGGGCTCGGCCATGGGGCCAATGATGTTCGGCAAGTAGATTTTGGACATTCATGACTTTTCGATGTTCGGGCTAGGCTTGCAAGTAAGAGCTATGTGGGCTTGGTTTCGGGAAGGGCTGCTCTAAAGGGTCCAGGCTTGCGCGTTTGAATGCCAGGATGAGAATTCTGCATCTGCGCAAAACTACACGATCCTGAAAGGCGAGAGCAGGGCAAACTCGAAGGGCCAATGCTGCAACCAGCAAGAGATTGTGAGCTCAGGGTCGCGTTGCTCTGCCTTTGTGAAGTGAAGGCTTTCGGCGAGAGCGTTGTGACGATTGTGTGTACAGACGATGTGAAATTTTCCCTTCCAAGACCCTCACAAAGCCTATCAGAGCCTCACAGCACTGCAGCCTTTTCCAATTGCCAAATGCCCGCCAGACCCGCCAGAGTCAACTTGCCACCGGGAAAAGAGAAGAAGCGGCTTCGTGCTACCTCTTCTTTCGTATTTAGCACTTCCCTTAGCTTTGATATAGTCTGAATTGCGCTGCCTCAATGATTTCCAAGAAAGACTGCATTTGGCTGCTGTCCGCTTAAAAACCTAGTTGCCCGAGCACGACCGGAATAGTCCGCAACATGCGGACGAAGGAATCGGCATTGTTTCTCATACAGGGGAAGTCTACGTATCCGCTGCAGGAGTGGCTCGAAAGAGTTAAGATAAGAGGATCTCAGCAAAGAACAAAATATACCAGCATACCCGTTGTCCTCCTCGAAAAACTTTCAAGGCGATGTTTCAGTCCAAAATGCCCAGTAATGCTGCAAAAGCCAAAGTCCGCCTCGACTCTTCACTCCATAGCAAAGATTTCATGGACCGCCAGCCCATGCGGCCACAGATCTTCTGCAGTCACATCAGCTCAACGTGGTTGACGTCAGCTAAATAGCTGCCGGCTCGGGGTTCAATCCTGAGTCAGTGCCTGCACCCGTCGATGCGGATCGCCGCCGCCATCAGGGCAAATCAATCAAGCCAGCATATTAGTTTTATTATCATTATTATAACCTCAGGATCTGCCTGGAACCTGTGTGGTTTGGGGGGGAGGGGGGGAGGCCTAACTCCGCAACCGCCAAACCATGGCTCATCGGATACAAAGCCATATACTATCTCACTATAAACATCAGGCATAAGCCCTTTGGAACCGTGCAAAATGTTGACACCACATGAGATAGTGTTAAACACGGTTGCAGGCAGCTCCAGCACAGGACTTCAGGCGGTCGTCAGCCAGGCCATGGTTCATGGACTGTCAAAAAGAGGAGGAGGCAGGTTAAGGCGACTCACTTGGGATGAACGGCTGAAGGGGTTAAAGGAGTTCTATGGCTTTCGGGGTTTTGGGTCCTGCCAGCCTGCCTCCGTTGCCGCCCAAGCCTGCACATAGGCCACACAGTTGCATTCGCAGTGCGGGGCAGAGATTAAATGCAGTCATGGCAAGAAGCCATGAAGAAATGCCTTTGGCCGGCCTAGCAAGCAGTAGCTGCAAGCTTGACATGTAAAGATCGCAAAGGTTGAGTACAGAGGTTGAGTTGGAACATGTCATCTTCTCTTGTAGGATCAACTTCAATGATCTAGCAGATCCAGCACCCACCGCCGTAGCCCCTGGGAACACACACCGAGCGCGGATATTGCCACGCGCGACTTGGTCGCAGTGTGCACGCATCTCCAAGCACTGCATCATGAACAGCTTAAGCTACGAAAATTGGAAAGCCCCATATGAACAAAACAACAGCATAAGACTCTCGAATTGACAGCTGTACTTCATGGAAAGTGGCAGCAGCAGGATCTCAGTGTGATGGCCGCCGCACCCATTTGTTGGTCGTTGCATTGAACTCGAGCTTGCCTCTGCCAGGTTTGGTTTAGGCTTTAGTGTTTAGGGTTTAGGGTCTAGGGTCTAGGGTCTAGGGTCTAGGGTTTAGGGTTTAGGGTTTAGGGTTTAGGGTTTAGGGTGTAGCATTGGTCAGCTGTACGCAATAGTGTGCAGACATGCCCACCCCAAGACCGCCCAATCACTACTTACAACGAGCCAAGCCAAAGCCAGCCGAACCAAAGCCAGCCCACGTTATACAACTTCTGCACTCAATGGTGCACTTCGGACTAGCATCTGGCACGCTTCCTTACGTCATGAAGCTCGCCTGCTGCAACAAGGTGGTATCTGAGAAACCTGAGAAGCTGCCTTGGAAAAGACGTTAGATCTTTCGAGAGAAAATTAGGTTTTGTATTGGGGGGGGGCGTTTTCGCCGGAGGGCCTTCTCACTGTTTCCGTTCTCTACGTCGGGGCGTCAAGGCTGCGTGGCGAAAGGCCTGTTGATATAAACATGCCTTGCGAAAGACATGCCTAGACCTTGCGAGAGCCAAAGTAGCGTTTGCGTTAGGGGGGTGTCTTCGGCGGGAGGGCCTTCTCCGCCAAATCAGCGTTTGCGTTGGGGGGTGTCTTCGGCCGGAGGGCCTTCTCGATGTCTTTCTTTTCTACGCCGGTGCGACGAGGCTGCGTGGCGGAAGGCCCGTGGCTAGAAAGATCTAGAAGCGTGCGAGAGCCATATCAGCGTTTGCGTTAGGGGGTGTCTTCGTCCGGAGGGCCTTCTCATGGTTTTTCTTCTCTACGCCGGAGTGTCGAGGCCGGGCGGTGATCCTCGCAAGGATTCTTTCTAGGCCATGTGGCCTTGACAGTTCGGCGTAGAGAAGAAAAACAATGAGAAGGCCCTCCGGCCGAAGACACCCCCCAACGCAAACGCTGATTTGGCTCTCGCAAGCTTATTGGAAAAGGGTTTAGCCCCCCTCCAGACAGTGCTTTTTGGACCCTTTTTTAAGGGCAAATAGTGCAGGAGCCTCTTCTGGACCGGCCCAGGGGCTGACGCCCTAGTGTCTGAGGCGTAGCCAGGCACTGCAGGCCCCGTCTACCGGGAGGCTTTACCCTCCCTCACCGTTCTGTGGAGACGCTCGGTCGGGGACCTCGGTCGAAGCCTCGAGCGCCCCTGTAAATGGACAGCGGCGCTCTCGGCAGTTTAGGGTTTAGGGCTTAGAATTTAGGGCTTAGGGTTTTGCGGTAGGGTTTAGGGTTTAGGGTTTAGGGTTTAGGGTTTAGAGTTTAGGGTTTAGGGTTTAGGGTTTAGGGTTTAGGGTTTGGGGTTTGGGGTTTGGGGTTTGGGGTTTGGGGTTTGGGGTTTGGGGTTTACGGGTCAATCAGAGCTGAGTCAAGATTTACTGGCTGGGCAAGGGTTGCAGGTCTTTAGGTTGCTCTTCAATGAAGGGGATTCCGGTGTAGGCTTCGCATGTGAACATATTTCTAAGGGTTGGTCAATGTCGCTGGGCTGCTGAGGAGGAGAACTCAACGTAGGTGCCGTCGAACCAGCTTTGCTATGACGTGCCCAATTTTCTGTCCCAACAATTCATGCCTTCGGTCACGGCACTGCGTCCCCCTTGCTCTCCTGTGACGGCCCGAACTCTGCGTGAGTATAAATCAATCGCGCGGTGCTACTCTTGGATATTCAGATTGTAGCACACGTGTCAAGGCAGTGATACACTGGTTGCACAGCAAAGCTTCATCTCCAATCGCCACCCCCCCCCCACCCCCCCCCCCTACCCCATGTTGTTGAGTGTTGAAGGATCTGAAGGCAGGCGTCAGCATGAAACAAACGGCCAGAAGGTCTCCTGGTGCTTTTTGCCGGCATGGCTCAGGTTCAGCCTCTGCGCCCACTGCACGTGAAAACACCTCCGGGGGTTGTGCATGTTCAACTGTAGATGATATGCAGCTGTCCAAACAAGCAATGCACGTATGGAACATCTTTTCAAGCTGTTCGGCACCTGCCGACCAGCAGTAAGCTGCCGCATGCTACCGGAGCTGCTACCGCAACACAGGCATTGGCCGCAAACAACAGTAGACGGATGTACGTCATCATCTACATGCATCACGATCCAACCCCGGGAGTAACTAGGCAACTTAAGTCCAAAGTCTTCGGCTTCTTCTCATCCTGCCAACCGGAACCCGAGAGCTATGCAAGCAAGTAGCCGACGTCAGCACCTGAGGCAATTGGTGAAGTCAAGCAACTGACACATGTGCACAGTACGCTGTCTTCGACCAAGGTCACTCGCAAAAGCTTTCGCAATGCAGAAAGACCGAGGGTTGCCATGATCGCCGATGGCTATGCGCTGCTCTCAGGCTGTATCCTTGAAGGCTGAACAGCACTGAAGGTCCAACTGAACGAAATGCCTTCCAAGCTTTAAACTTCTAGAAGCAATGTTGACATGGGAAGCCTAGTGTCAGGTCAGTCGGAGGGTTGCTATGCTCTACCGCTAACCCTAAACCCTAAACCCTAAACCCGAAACCCTAAACCCTAAACCGTAAACCCCTGCCTCAGCTGCCATCATGTCGATGACCTCGAACTCGTCGTCGCTCGCCAGCTCGATCTCTGAGTCCTCCTTGGGAGCTTCGTGGGGACAACTCGCATAGACAGGGTTTAGGGTTTAGGGTTTAGGTTTCAGCTTTTAGGGTTTAAGGTTTAGGGTTTAGGGTCGTAAGCCAAGTAAATCAATTAAGCCTCACACCCCCAAAACCTTTTCAAACAGCTTTGGGGCTGTCGAATGCTTTCGAAGTTCGGAGTTTGGGTTTCCGGCTTTCTTCTACTCCCCTGAGCCGGGGGCCGGCTCCTCCGACTCGGGCACCTGATGGCAAAATCATGGCAGTCCGACACCTTGTGGGGCGAAAGCTTCCGTAATCAACTCAACTCGGCTCATCAGGCGAGCCGATGGAGCCACACACTCACTTACTTACTTACTTACTTACTTACTTACTTACTTACGTACTTACTTAGTTACTTACTTACATACTTACTTACTTACGTACTTACTTAGTTACTTTACTTTCTTTCTTATTTTGTCACTTTAGGATATAAAATGGGGCCTATCACTTCGCCAATTCGGGCATGAGCACGTGATGTTATCTGATCTCCACCGAAAGAAACCTCTACGTATTACAGCACAAATAAAAGCCGTCGCTCATATGCTTCTCTGGCACATGCGTTTCTGCAGCAGCCAATGAGGGCGCCGCCTGCCACACAGGTACGAGTATCCAGCTTTTGAGCCATTGCACCCATTGAGCTTGGTAGAAACCCGAGGTTTTGAGCAGGCTGTTGAATAATGCCAAAGCCCAGCCTTTGCCTTTGGAAGCAGGTTACACCAGATGGCTACTTAGGCACATGGGCATGATACGTGAGCCTTATTTGAAGAACCAACCGGGATGGGATTTTTGCAGCGGTTCGAACCGGAAGCCTCCTGGAGAGCGCCGTCTTCCGCAGCCGGATTCGCCTCCGTCCTGCGGCTTGGTGGGGGACTCCCTTCAGAGATTCCAGGTTTAGGGTTTAGGGTTTAGGGTTTGGGGTTTAGGGTTTAGGGTTTCAAGGAAGTTCAGCGCCTTCCTGGGACTCCCTTCCACTGCCCCATACAATCTCCCCTGCTCGCATCTCCTGAGGTGAGCTTCATCCACAGCAGCATCTGGCAGGAGCACAAGCGATGGGAGCAAGACACAGCAAGACCGATTTTCACCCTCAAGTGGTGGAGGTGGAGGGGCTCATACTGCACAATTGGAGCAGCCTTGGACGATGAGTGTGGAGCGTAGAAGATACTACAGTAATGGCGCGTAGGCAGCTTTGTACTTTTCATGCATGCTCTGGATGACACTGGCAGCTGCGAGCAGACGTGCTGCCACCCCGTACAGCCAAGCAGGGCCAGGCAGGTTTCAGGGTTGAGAGGTTCACATATGATGGAGTGGAGGGTTAGTCTCTGCAAGATCAGCGTGCCTTGCTGAGCAACCGCCTCTTCAGCGCGCTCAGCCTTCCATGAAGCTTCAGCCAGAAATCGGTGGCTGGTAGCAATGAAGTCCTACCACACATAGAACAGCGAAGGCCAGCAGCACAACAAATCCGACATGAGGGGTCCTCTCAAGCCATGACAAAGTTAAAGGCTTGTAGGTTTAGGCTGTCGCCCACAGCCGAAGGACTTGGGATGACTTGGCACCTGCTCACCCCCCCCACCCCCACGCAGCCCACACAGATCCGCACTTGAAACCTTTCATCCTTGTCGTACACACCCCATGACCCCTCCTTCACACCTCCCAGACCCCCCCTTCATACCGGAACACATGCCAAAGCTAGCTGATATCGTGGGCACTTGCAGAAACCCTGGACATCAACATCAATGAGGTGGGCCAGACCGGCTCCAAGTCCAGCTCTGGACTGCCACAGACGTGTGAGAGCTGTCGGGTGCTCTGCCTTGAGCGCCATGGGAGCCAGTGTCTTCCCAATGCTTGCGCATACCGGTGCGAAGCCACAAGGTAAGTCATGCTGCTCGCGCGCTGTCTCACGCCATGCAGCCACCATCATGCTGCGCAAGAACCGTCCACCCTATTCAACTGCAACTCCGACCAGACTCGCTCGATATGGGTCACCTCCCAACCCCGTGCCCCCACATGGCCCCGCTTGGTAGCCAACCAGCATTGCGAACAAGGCCGGGCGTCCAGGTTCTTGACGCCAACTAGGAGGGGCTTTGCAGCTGCCATTTCCTGATTGATCCGGGCCTCCTTGCCTACGAACGAAGCCCTCAACCCCAAACGCTCTAACATCGTGAAGTTCTGATCCTTGGAACCCTGAACACTACAACAACCCAACAAAGAAACGACCGGCCCTGAGCCCTCAAACGGCCCAAACCACGAAGCCCTACGGCTGACAGGTCCGCGGACCTCCACAGCTGCCCGTAAGCACGCATTCATCCTGCGCATCTTCGAATTGGGGTTTGAGTGCCTTGCGGCTTTATGGGGTTTATCAGGGTCTTGTAGGCCTTAGTCGGTCGAGGGTTTGGGAATGTTGGTGTTTGGGGCTTGTGATGTTTCTTTCTTTGGGATACTGTGCCGGTTGCGAAGCGTGAAGCGGGAACAAAACTCTGTGCAACGCTGAGGGTTTAGGGCCTGCTGTCGGCACACTAAGTCACAAAGGTTCAGGGTGTCCAAAAGGACCCTATTGGTGAGCCGTTGTTGGGAGGTGCGAGGGTCCAAAGAAGGTGGGGGTTGGGGGGGGGGGGGGGAGCGGGGGTCAATTCTCAGCCTTCTCCACAACGTCCTTGAAACTTTGCGGAAGCCCTTAATTTGCCGGCCCGATTGTTGAAAGCAACCCTACACCCCCAAACCTTGTCACATAAGCCTTGAATCTCGGAGATCCTAGACTCCTAGACTTCCTGACCTAAAGCTTTCGAGCCTGGCATCGAGGCCCTCAACCCTAAACCCCACAAACCCACCCAAGTCCCTGCGGCACCCTTCCTGGATCGGGCTTCGTCCAATTCATCTGCAGGGCGGGAAAACCAGGAGAAGGCGGCTTTTCCAAGACTGTGAAGTATGAAGCGTGAGAAAAGAGAAGAAGCAAGAACAACGGGAACAATCTTGCCACTTTGTATACACTTGTGCAGTGATTCGACAGCTAGGTTGCAGCTTTGAATACCAGCATGTGCATGCTCGAGAGGATCTTGATTCTTCAATGAGCTCAAGGGATGGGTTCTCAAGTACATTCATCGTCTGAGGGCTGCTGAGGGGCTTCTAGTGATTCAATGGTTTAGGGCTTAGGGGGTGTAGGCTTTAGGGTGCGGGGGATTTGGGTTTGGGGTTTGAGGTTTTGAGGCTGTGGTCTTCTGATGTCTTCCGCCAGGCCTGTGTTTGGAACGACCCGGATCTCCTCCACCTGCCGCAGCGGTGCCAAATTTGCTCAACGCTCCCTGGTGGTCCACGGTCCACAATTTGTAAGTCCTGGTATAACTGTAGATATGTGTAAATACATATCATATATAATATCTATATATGTATGGAGACATATGCACAGTAATTATAGTTCTGTTGTGGATGCTCTCCTACCAATCGGGGAGTCGGAGGGTTACCCCAGCTCCCATTCCACCCGGTCCGTGAATCGACCAAACTCTCTCCCTTCACTTCACTGAAGAGGTGGGCTCAGTGAGTGTCTTCGTCATGGTGCTGTTAAGTGCGTGCAGACATTGCAGTCAACGAGGTGCAACAAGCCGCACAGGCACAGTGTCAAGCCTTGGGCTCTGGAGCCTTGGGCTCTGGAGCCTTGGGCTCTGGAGCCTTGGGCTCTGGAGCCTTGGGCTCCGGAGCCTCGGGCTCTGGAGCCTCGGGCTCTGGAGCCTCGTTCGAGACGGTGGCCTGGTCCTGGGGGAAACGTCTTTTGATGAAGTGCTCTGAGGGTGCGCTGCATCCTAGTGGTCCTAGTGTCCTAAACAGTCCGAAGCATTTGAGGCTCTGGCCATTGCAGCCTCGATAAAGCTGTCGCTGAGCTCGCCAATCGGCACCTTTTTCCACCGCCATATACAATGTCAATCTATGATTATTGCAGGCACAAGCTTCTGATACCAAATCGACCTATCTTCCAGACTACGCAAGGATAAGCTCAAGCAATTAGGTCATTCACCAATGTGAAGTTCCCCCAGAGACGCACAAACAAAGGCACAGATGATCACAGATGCGAATCATCTTCCTAGTGGATACAACGGTTCATTTCCAAACCAATGTAAAACTCCACGTTCTACGTAAAACGTGCCGAAAAATTCAACCATGGAACGGCTTCTGCAAACATTGAACAGATAAATGAGATTCGGACATACAGTAGGGGGTCCAAGTCATGCAAGATGTGATAGCTGTGTGCCGGGCCGCTGTAGCCGAACAAGGCTCTTCAACAGGGAGTAGCAGGCGTAGATGGTAGCAAGTACCAATTAGTGGACTGAGAAAGTCAGCTTGAACCTGCGACCCCACACTTCTTATGCGACAGGGAAGAATCCGAACATCAAGATCTCATTAGGTCAGAATGACCTCCCTGGGGCCTCCGTGGGAGCACTCGGGCTTTCGTCCTCTGTCGTGGGCGATGCGTCATTGCAGAACTCGTACACCTGGCTGTGCAACATGTGTTCCGAGCAAGTTGAGACTCAGATCCGGCCCATCCGGACTCTCATCGCTCGTTCACTCTTTCTTTTTCTTTCTTTGGGGCTTGAGGCGGACCCCGCGCCTAGGCGCCCCGATCTCTCTCCTCCTCTTCTTCTTCTTCTTCTTCTTCTTCTTCTTCTTCTTCTTCTTCTTCTTCTTCTTCTTCTTCTGCACAGCGAAGAGCCCCCCCCTAAGGAAGGCCCCCGGCCATGCTGGCCCGCCGGTCTCTGTTCTTTCTTTCTTTCGGAGGGCATGGAGGCCGAAGCCTCCGGGCGTCATCGCCCGCCCCTGTTTCCGGAGCGGTGCTTGGGTTCACTTGAAGCCACTGGTGTGCCTCCCACGGTTAGCCCCCCTGTTTCCCCAACGTACCCCAAATACCCAGTTGTCATGCCGCTTATGTCCCGACCACCACTTCCTGAGTCACACCTTGCTTCTCGGGGTTGGCTGTTGAACATTGTGCACGCTCGGTCCCTGCCAGGTTGGAACTGCACTATTTGGGCTGCACCCCCTGCCCCCAAATGACGCTGGCCTACACCCCACCCCTCACTGTTCCAACCTGTTCTGTGCTGGGTTGGGCCTCGAGTGTGTCGGGTCCTTATCAGGCCCATGTGCTGATTGCTAGCCGGTGATGCCCCCAACTCAACACAGCAAGTCCCCTAAACAAAGACTGCACCATGCAACCTACCCGAAGCCTCCCCATACCCCCAACCCTCAACCTTTCCCCCGGCTGTTAGCTTTCAGCTTGGGTGGCACACACGCCCCTTGCCGTTCGGGTTTTCCCCTTCCCCACAAGAACCCCCAACTTCGAAATCTCTCAAGATCCCCCCGAAACCTCCCCGGCCCCCACACAAGCCCGAATTGATTCCGGCTTTCGGCTTTGTGCGTAGATGCTCGTGAAACTGCGCACCGCTGGGCTAGCTTGGTTCGGGCCTCCTAGCTGACCGAAACTAAGTCCCCTCCCCCTTAGGCACCCCTCTTAGTCCAGCCCTGCGTGCTCGCGTCTACGCCTAGGGCCTATGCTCATCCGGCTCCAGGCTCAGTACTGCTCCTCCAACGCCCCCTCTGTCCGCTCGCCGTCTGCTCGGTTGTTCCCCCCTGCTCCCGCTTCTCGATCTTCGCGTCCTTTGTCCCCGCCCCAGTCGCCGCTCGCCGCTGCTTCCCCCCGTTGTGCCTCCCCCCGTCTTCTGGCAGGTCCTTCGAAGTGGGCTGTCGTTGCTGGTGCTGCAAGGGCCGGTGGGGGTTGCCAGGGTTGTGTGGTGTTGTGCACCCTTCTCTGCCATGGCTGCTCCTGCCCCCCTCCTCCGCTCCAAGGTGGTTCACCTCCGCGATCTCCCTGCCATTTTCACGATCGTGTTGTTCTTCATGCGGTCGATGTAGCCCCCCATCTTCGATCGTCCCCTCCCCTGCGGTGTGGTGGCTCGCGCCATGTAGGGTGGTGCTCCGGGTGGTGTGTCTTCGATGGCGAGCAGCTCTGCCCCCCAAAGTTCCCTGCGCCACTCATCCAGTGCTTGTAGTTGGCTGCCCCCCCCCCCCCCCCATCGCCTCTTGCTCTTCTCCCCCCGCTGCCAGTGCTGCACCCCCCCTGCCTGTGGTGGTGTTGGCGGCTGCATTTCGAGCGCACACGCTTCTGCCCCCAGGCAGGCTTCGGCGTGTTGCTGGGCAAGGGCAAGCTGGTGTGGTGCCTGGTGGTGGCGCCGGTCTCTGTCTCTGTCTCTCTCTCTCTCTCTCTCTCTCTCTCTCTTTCTTTCATGCGGCACTCTCTCTCTCTCTCTCTCTCTCTTCCTTCCTTCCTTCCTTCCTTCCTGTGCACGTAGCCGACGTAGCCCTCAAGAAACCCCGATGGGCGTGCTCAACCGGGTCAGTTTTCGCGTGACTCTCTCTCCCTCCCTCCCTCTCCCTCCCTCTCTCTGTCTGTCTCTCTCTCTCTCTCCCGCACGCATGGCCCCCCCCGAAGGAGAGGCCGCCCCTAGGGGCGCGCGAGTCTCTCTCTCTCTCTCTCTCTCTCTCTCTCTCTCGCTTGCTCGCTTCACATTTACCCAGATGCAGTGAGCAAGCGGGCCTTCGGGGCAGGCCTGAGCTCCTGCTCCGCTTCCTGGACATCGGGGCTTGAGTGACAGGCATAAGAACCCGACATTGAGGGAACGAATATGAAAACCCCATTGACGTCGCTACGTGGTACTCGCGCCATGTGGGGTATCAGATGATGCCTCATGGCGATGGCGCAAAGAAATCGGTGCTCGCATCCGTCTCTCCAGCCCCAAGCGCCATGCCGAAGGCTATAGCGGCTAGTGACTAGACGGCATCTCGCTCTGGGGCGTACTAAGGAGAGGTGGGCACGCGTCTGGGTTTCATGAGCTTTCTTGCTCGGAGCAATAAGTGCCGACAAAAAGATCCACCGAAGTGTTCTTCGAGGGGCGCCTGCTCGTCAAAGACTTCTTCCACCGCATCGATCACCCGACGGGCGACATCCTGGCGCAACTCCCCAATAGAATGTTAAGTGTAATCCAAAGCCCTGGGCCTATCGACCAGCTTTTTGACAACTCACCAATAGCAAGCTACACGCAAGTTACACCACGCGACGACCCGGCAACACCACGCCGCGACACGGCTATGCGGCTTCAACCGCAGCCGCAAACCACAAAGCTACACTCGCAGCCCCGGTGTCGGTCTAGACAAACGCTCTCATGGCTAGGGTGCATTGGTCAAAGGAGGCGTGGTGAGTTTGCAACTATGGTGGGGGCGGGACTCCGACGTCGACGGTTGTGGCTCGGTCAGTAAGACAACAGGGCCAGGGGTCTACAACTGGAACCTGCGAGCACCATGCGAGGCTCCCCGGTGCCTCCGGTAGCCCCTCGAGTGCGAGAACGGTGTGGAGCTTGGAGAGGACCTGTTCTTGGGGGTTGGCCGGTACCATCTACATGGCCTCGAAAAGGCCTCTCTTTTGAGGCTTCTTGGCGTGAAGGTGTCTCAACAAGCAAGACCTCTAAGAGAGAAGCTTTGGGCTCTTGTTTGGGAAGAAACAGGGCGGGGTGGACTTTTGAAATTGATCTCTTTAGAACCCCCCAAGCTATGGGAACATGATAAACCCTGTGAAGCCCCAAACCTTGAACCTCAACCTACAGCTCCCGAGCAGAAGCTCGAGCAAAAGAGGAGTGGTATGCGTCGCCCGAAGTCGGCCCCCGAGACCCCCCCCCCCTCTTAGAACTTAGAGTCTAGAGTTTAGGCTTTAGGGGTTGGATCGTTGCAAGCTCTACGGCCGCGCCAGCCTTCTGGCGAGGCGCACTGGGAGAGGCCGGTGCCTTGGCGGAGGAGGCGTCACAGTGGCGGCGGCCACGAAGCTAGTTGGGAGATCTCCTGCTTCATCCTTGACCTCCGCCTGTGGGATGCACATTGAGGTTTAGAAGAGCTCACATGCCGAGCTCATCAAGAGGTGCCAGGGCCGCTAGAGTTTCAAGGCTTGGGGGATTTCCCTGAAATTCAGGGTACCATCCTTCCTTGCTGGCAAACGAGCTTCAAAAGTTCCATCGTCTGCTCGTGACATGTTGCTAGTTGATCAGATTTCACTCCTGAGACCAGCACACTAATCGGTGGCTGCACTGTGTAAGTTGGCAGCGGTAGCAAGCCACCATTCTGCCTTGCGCGGCAGACGTGAGTCAGCAAAGATACAGTAAGCAGCAAGAAGGCACGCAGAAAAGCAGAACCACTCGTCTTGACTTTTAGATTGCATGAGTTCTTTGCACTGCTCCCCGGCCTTCTAGGACGGCGGCCTGGCAAAGCTCCAAGGCTGAGTCTAAAGTCTAAAAGCTCTGCTTTTGGCTGTTGAGCTTGGGTTCACGGTGCTGACATGTTCGGGCTAGGGCTGTCAGAAGCTGGTCTGAGTGGTCAGGCAAAATCCTGGAGTGAACCTCAGGTTGTACCAAGTCCAGGAGGATCTGCTAGAATCTGCTAGAAGAGGCCAAGCCAAACCAGTGCACCCAACAGAGGGCACTGTCTCTACGTCTCCTCTCTGCCACGAGACGCTGCCCTGACACCACTTCAAAAGTCCCAACATTCCTACCCTGCCTTTGCGAGGACATGGCACGCCCGGTACCACCGGCGCGAAGTACACCTGCAGAGCTGTGGCTGTCTCAGGATGCGAACCGACACTGACGTGGTCGGCCATGTACTGCTAGGCGATAACCACTACATCCTGCTGCAGCACGGTCACCTTCAAGCCATTTCTTCTTCAGTGCCGGGCTGTGTCGGTCATGTGGACATGGAGTGTGCTCGAAAGACATCACGCACACAAACGCATATAGCAGAAAGATGAGACAACCTAGGCGCCAATGTGTGACGTCCTTGTGCAGTATGTGTAAACTGGTACGCAGTGACTTCGGCGCCTTGTCAGCCTTTTCTGCAGAAGGGCCTTTGGAATCAAGGAAGCTCTCTCTCTGAGTAGCAGAATGTAGCAGAAGAGCACATCAAAAGGATGCCCGGCTGTTAGGCAATAGGCACGCCCCACTACAATGGAGCAAGCAACGGTTCAAAGTGCTGCTATTGAACGCTGTTGACATTCTGCCCAAGTGGCGTATCTTTTCGAAGGACGTTCTCCAACAGAAGCCCTTGAGGCTTGCATCAAGCCTGGCACAGTCGGTCTGAAGGCTCCCAAGAACACACTGTCTAGGTGCAGGTTCCTCAGGAGACCTTGGAGACCTTGGGGCTTCGAGCTTCTTTCAACGACACAGAAGCGATTCTCCCCCCGTACATTGGCGAGGGTTCCACAAAACCTCTGCGGGAACCTGCCCCACTGCACTTGCTATGAAAAACTTGCTATGAACATTTGACCAAGGAGCAAGTACGGATGCGGCCGCGCTCGACCTTTCAGCTGCTGCGGTGGCGGCTGTGGCGGTGGCGCCGTCTCCTTTCTTGAGGCTGGTCGCAGCGGAGCACTTCGGGAGACGAGGCCTTGAAGCTTGAGGAGCTGTTGAGTGCCTGCTTGTCTCTCCCCGGCGAACCGAGGACAATGGGTAGTGCCATGCGCCAACAACAGGCGGCAACCCGGAGTCTCTGGGAACGTCTGCGCTTTTGCCCTCCTAGGGTCCAAGTCCCTGAGTTTTTGACTGGAAGACAGCCAAAAGCCCCGAAAACAAAGAAGCGGAAAGAAGGACAAGCTGAGGGACGGACTGCGGCTTCACCGTTTCTGAGGTCGGCGGCTGGGCGAAATCTGACACCGGCTGGTTTGAGCTGAGGTTTAGGGCGGTTGGGAGTGTGTAGAGTGTTGAGAGCCTTTAGGGCTTGAGGCTTTCGAGCGCCTTTGTGGCTCGGAGTTTGGAGGGCTGAATGGTCTGAGGTTTTGCGCGGGGTGAGTTTTTCGGCGGGGGGGTTCGGAGGTCTTGTGGCGGACCCTCCGACCTGGCAGGGCGGGCGCTGCGCTGGCGTTCTGAGGAGTCGGCCTCGGAAGGCTTTGCGGGCTGGAGGGTTTTGGAGGGTTCTGGGTTGGGTGTCGAGGGTTGAGGGGGACGGGTAAGCGCGCTGACTGTCAGGTCCATACAGTCTTTCCCCAGATTGACTGTGCAGGTAAGGGAACTTCTTGTTTCAGGGTTTCGTCATTACCTCTTCCACGGACTTCCATCCCGCACCTCCGTGAAGGTGGAGGGCATCGAGGGGACTGGCGGCAAGGAGGAGGTCTTGGGAGCCTTGTGCCTGGCAAAGAGACGACAGCTTTCATCAACTGCCGGCAAGCTACCTAAAACAAAGAATGCTGCAGCGTACGCTAACCCTGAACCCGAGAAGCCCTACAAGGACAGCACATGTGGGAATTGACCGTGGGTTCCAAGAGATTTGATTGTGCATGTACGTAGCATGTTGATTCCATATCCGTATGAACTGTCGTACATGTACCATTCAGAGAAAGTAGATACTGTATGAAATTATACGAAACAGCAAGCAAGTTATCTGCATGAGACTGGGTGTATCTCAATCTCAACCAAATCCATCAGCCCTTTAACCCCCCAAAGCCCCAAACCCTAATAGCTTCAAACCCTCTTGAGCCCAAATGCCTTAGTCCTTGAACAAAACCCTATGAATCCAAGACACCTACGTACCACAAAGCCGCAAGCCCAAACCCCATAAGCCCTGAACCCTATAAACCCGGAAGCCCTAAACCCGACAAGCCCCTTATGAACCCCCAGGGTTTAGGGTTGAGGCTTCAGGGACCCCCTGAACCTAAACATCCGAAAGCCTTGTCAATCCCCAATGCCTTCAACCCTAGAAGGCATAAACCTTGTGAACACCCAGGAGCCCTGAACGACAAACCCCAAAAGACCTAAACCGTTGAAGCTATGAGCGCCCAAAGCCCTGAACCCAAAAAGTCCTGATCCCTAACGGCCCTAAACCCTACGAACCCCTAAAGACCCTAAACATGAAAACCGTGTTCCAAGCCCGCATACGCAATGTGTTCCCAAGTGGTGCAACTTCAAGCGCCCTATAAGACTCAAACGAGTATCAGTATCATGTGGAAGTGCGATTGTTCAACTCAAGTTGGTGCCGGCCTAAGGGGTCTGTAGGTCGGGGTATATAGGGTCTATAGTGAGGTGACGAAGTTGTTTGGAAGATGGGCAGGACCCTAAGTGGACCCTACCCCATTTCGTGACCTGGTACAAAAAGGGGGCGGCATGGGGCAAACCAGGAGGACATATGCAAGCGATGTGTAGTTTCCTGGTCCGGTTTTCGGTTTAGGGTTTAGGGTTTAGGGTTTAGGGTTTAGGGCCAGTTTAGGGTTTAAAGGGTTTAGGAGGGTTTAGGGTTCCGTAAGTGTAGGCATTGTAGGCAGTGTCGCGGTTGGCACCTACAAGTATTTAAAAATATAGCTACGATGGTCAACGGCCTAGGGCCAAGTGTACTTGGGCCGGGGGGAGGGGCCTAGCAAAACGCATGAGAATACGATCATGCCTCTGTTCTCCTGTAAGCCTGAAAACAGGCCCAAGGCCTGGGGTCTGTTGTTGTCATCGCCGCCTTCGCGCTGGCAGTTCGAAGCAAGGTTCGTGGATAGAGGTCTCAGCTCCGACTACTTGGTCCTACTTGGGTCCAGCTCAGAACACAGCTGGCGAAGGGCCCGCGGTTCATCCCAATGTGAAGATACTCCATGAAGTGCGAACGCGGCAACCTGAACCTGTACAGAGGACATTGCCGCCCTGCTCTTCACAAAAGGCGAGTACTCATGCCCACTGTGCTGTCAGCGTTGTCTCCGGGCACGGTGCCTTCTCGATGGGGGGCAGGATGAACTCGGCAGGGCCTCGCCCACGACCCATCCTCACGAAAGAACAAACCACTTCGGCAGCAAAAGGCACGTGCACATTGAGGTCTGGCAGCTCCAATGCGCGCAGACCGTTCAAGGACTCTCTAGCCACATGTGCTGGCCCTATGGTCATCCTTAATTGCACACCTCGCAGTGTTTGTTGGCTTGACGCACAAGGTTTGCGTGGCATAAGAATCTTGACCGCTTTCTTGACTCTCTTTTAATGAGCCACATGGTCCTCCTCGATGCCAGCCAACAAGTGACGGTCAAGCGAGAGCGTAGGAATGAAGGCTTTAAAAGTTTATTATGTTCAAACGCCTGTGCAACTGTCAATCCTTTGTCACCTGCGCTTTCTGAGCCAAATCTGCACAAAAGAGGGTGTAGATCACTAAAGCACCAGATTATGCAGAATCCAAGTCAGAACAGGCGAAAATCCGATTGCAACGAACCCTCCACACCTAACGCTGTATCGTCGTATCGCTTAGCAAACGTAAAACTCGCAAAGGTAGAGCAGGGACTGGAACATGTCATCTTCTCCGGTGGCATCAAGTTCAATAATCTTGCAGCCTGGCAGTAACCCCTGGGAGCACGCACACACCCAGCGCGGATATTGCCGCGCGCGACTTTGTCGCAGAGTGCACGCATCTCCAAGCCTTTAAGCCAAGCCGCATCCTAACAGTGGAAAAGCCTGAACAATACAGCAAGACTGTCGAATTGACAGATGTACATCGTGGAGGTTTAGATCTCAGTGTGATGACTGCTTCACTCACCCATTGAGCTCGAGCTTGCCTGGCAAATTCAAGGCATTTGTCAGAGTTCGACCACGAGTATTCGGGCTTCGGCTTCGCACATGGATTCGTTTAGCTAAGGCTAGGGTTTGTCAATGTGTTTGCGCTGTTGAAGGGAACTCAACCTAGGTGTTTTTGAGCAATCAGCTGCGAATGTAGGTCCTGTTCCTTGAACCATCTTTGAAACGCTGTGCTCTTTTCCTGCAACAGTTCATGCCTTCGGGCCCGCCACTGCGTCCCCCTTGCTCTCCTGTGAGGGCCCCAAGTCCGCGTGAGTAGCACACGTGTCAAGGCAGTGCTACACTGGCCGCAGAGAAAAGCTCCATCTCCAAGAGTTCCCCCGCTCCCCCCATTTATATTATTTGAGGGATCCGAAGGCAGGCGTCAGCATGAGACAAAAGGAAAAAAGATCTCCTGGTGCTTTTTGACGGCATAGCTCAGATTCAGCCTCTGCGCCCGCTGCACGTGAAAAAACCTCCGACAGTTGCGCATGTGCAGCTGCAGATGATATGATGAAGCTGTCCAAACAAGCAAATGCGACTCCCCAGCAGCAAGCTGCCGCATGCTAACCCGCGAGAGCTGCTACTGCAACACGCGCAGTGTATCGCGATCCAACCCCGAAAGCAAGTAGGCACACTAAGCCCCAGGTCCCTCGGCTTCCGCTAGTCCTGCAAACCTAAATCCGAGAGTTGTGCAAGCAAGTAGCCGACGTCAGCACCTGAGACAATTGCAATCACCGTCTTGAAGGATCCACGTCGCTGGAGGTTCAAAAAGCTGAGGGAAACGACTTGTCAGAATCTGAATTAAACTTCTACGAATGCATTGACATGGAAGTCAGGTATGTTGGAGGGGAATAACGACTCTCGTTCCGGGTCACAAGGCGTGCCACAGACGTGCGGCGCGCCGGTACAAACGCGTGCAGACGGCAAGCCCTTAATCTTACAGTGCAAACCTCGCACCCAGAAGATCCTCCACCAGCAGCCCTGCCTCATCTGCCACCGTGTCTGCGACCACAAACTCGTCGTCGTCGTCGCTCGTGAACTCGATTTCCGACTCCTGCTTATGACTGCAAACAAATAGTTAAGCCTCAGACCTCAGAACCCAAACCTTTACAACTAGCTTCGGACCCTCTTGCCTTAGAGGAGCTCTCAGGGGTTGTTGCTTTGGTGCTCCAGCTTTCTTCTACTCCCCTGAGCCGCGGGCCGGCTCCTCAGACTCGGGCACCTGATGGCAACGAAGGCACTTGGGGGACATCCTGGACCTTAAGTACAGAAATCCCCTCCCCCTACGAAAAATAACCCCCCCTAACATCATATGAACCCCATTATAGTATCATATGGGGGGGGGTATTTAATATTAGCGGGGTATATAAACCCTAAACCCTAAACCCTATAGGGATTTTTTCAAACATCAAACCCAAAGCCTCCTGGAGAGCGCCATCTTCCGCTGCCGTTTTAGCCTCCGTCCTGCAGCTTGGCTGGGCCCTCCCTGCAGAGGTTTAGGGTTTCGGGTTTAGGGTTTAGGGTTTCGGGTTTAGGGTTGCAAGGAAGTTCAGCGCCTTCCTGGGACTCCCTACCACTGCCCCATACAATCTCCCCTGCTCGCATCTCCTGAGGCGAGCTTCGTCCACAGCAGCATCTGGCAGGAGCACAAGCCATGGCAGCACCAGTAAGAATGCACTCCTCAATTGATGTGTGGGAGAGGCTCATACTGCAGAGGTTGAGGCGTCTTGGACGATGAGCGTGGACCAAGCAGGCCCAGGCAGGTTTCAGTGGAGGATTCGTCTCTGCAAAATCAGCTGCGCCTTGCTGAGCAACCGCCTCTTCGGCGGGCTCAGCCTTCCACGAAGCTTTAGCTAGAAATCTGTCTGCTGGCAATCAGCAACCTGTGCGGCCCTACAACACTTGAAACTGCACAGGCCAGCAGTACAACAGATCCGACATGAGTGGTCCTCTCGCTACAAGCAAGCTCAGATCGCTTGAGACTCTGACTGCGGCAGCCTCGGCAAAGCAGTCGTTCAGCTCGCCAATCGGCACCTCTCTTCCACCGCCATGTACAATGTAGATAAAAAAAAAAACGTCCATTCGAATGGACTACTCAATACCAGTTATGCAACACCAGTTTGAGCTACGTATCTACGAAGCAGTAGTAGCCAAAAGCTGAAAACGCGTAACGAAGTCTGGTACTGTACAAGTACATAGAGTACATCTAGTAGACACAGAGATACAGAAATACACCTGGGTCGACAAGTCTTGCAAGACATGACAGTACTATGTCGGGCGGCTGTAACGGGACAAAGAGCTTCAGCAGGATGTAAAGGGCGTAAAGAATTGCTCAGCTTGAGCCTACGACAAGCATTCTGATGCGCTAAGGAAAGAACCATCCCACACCGATTAAAATAACCAGCATGTCAAGGTCAGATAGAGCTTCTCTGGCCTCGGTGGGAGCACTCGGGCTTTCGGCCTCTGTCGTGGGCGATGCGTCATTGAACTCGTACACCTGGCTGTGCAACATGACACGTGTTCCGAGCAGGTTGAGACTCAGATCCGGCCCATCCGGCACATCCGCACTCTCACGGTCTCTCGCTTCACATTTACCCAGAGGTACTGAGCAAGCGGGCCTTCGGGGCAGGCCTGGGCTCCTGCTCCGCTTCCTCGACATTGGGGCTTCAGTGAGAAGCATAAGAATCCGACATTCACGGAACGACTATGAAAATTTCATGATGTTGCTACTTGGTACTTGAGCCCATGTGGAGTATATGATGCTCATGGCGATGGTGCAAACCAGCTGGTGCTAGCATCCGTCTCTCCAGCCCCAAGGACGGCATCTCGCTCTGGGGAATTAGTAGGGAGATGTGGGCAGCACGTCTGGGTTTCATGAGCTTTCTTGCTTGCTGCAGTAAATGCCGACAAATAGATCCACCGAAGTGTTCTTCGAAGTGCGCCTGCTCGTCAAAGACCTGTTCCACCGCATCGATGACCCGACGGGCGGCATCCTTGCGGAACTCCCCCCTCTTGAATTTTAAGTGTAATCCAAAGCCCTGGAACTCACTGTGCAAAGCCAACTCCCTCCTTTAGCTGCAACGGGGGATGGCCTACGCTGGACCAATGTCATCCCCAATTCATCAACAAACGGGGCGGCGGCTTCGCCAATGATTTCTCAAAGGTCGACAGCTGAGTGGCGAGAACACACCACAGCTTGGCCAGTAAAGGACTTGCTACATGCAGTTGACTGCTTCAAGAAAGTAGCTCCTACACCCAAACCAAGCCACAAGCGGCTCGGTCAGCAAGACAAAGGCCAGGGATCTAAAACTGAAACCTTCGAGGCTTCCAGCATCATGAGACGCTGCCCGGGCGCCTCCGACAGCCCCTCGAGTGCGAGGGCGCTGTGGAGCTTGGAGAGGACCTGTTCACTTTGAGCTCGGGGGGTGTGGCGGGCACCATCTACATGGCCTTAACAAGGCATCTCGTTTGAGGCTTCCTGGCCCGAAGGTGAGACCTCTAAGAGAGAAGGTTTGGGCTCTGGCTTGAGAAGAACCAGGGCGGGGTGGAATTTTGGGATTGATCCCTCAGGAACCCCCCCAATCTGCGGGAACATGATAAACCCTGTGAAGCCCTAAACCTTGAACCTAACCGACTTCTCCCCAAGCAGTACGCGACACATCAGGAGATATACTCTGGGGAATGCAATTTCGACAGTCCATCCGACATCGGCCGCGCCAGCCTTCTGGCGAGGCGCACTGAAAGAGGCCGGTGCCTTGGCGGAGGAGTGCCATCTATACTCCTACTTGGGAGATGGTTCAGGGCTTCGAGTCTATCCCTCCTGCTTCATCCGTGACCTCCGCCGGTGGGATGGGAGTAAGAACTCACATGTCAACCCAGGTTCATCACAAAGCGATAGGGTTTCTAGGCTTGGGCTTTCAGGCTCCCATCCTTCTTTTGCTGGTTAGTAACCTTCACAAATTCCATCGTCCGCTCCTGCCAATGACAAACCGGGGACAGTGTGCCAGCCGATGAGACTTTAGTCAGCCGATGAGACTTTAGTCAGAGAACAATAACTGCCCTCTGAGACCAGCGCACGGATTGGCGGCTGGACGGTATAAGTTGGCAGCAAGCCGCCATTCTGCCTTGCACGGCACGCAGGAGTCAATGCCGTACAGTATGCGGCAAAGCAGCCCACATGAAGGCATAAACTGCCTCGTTGATATCTCCTGTTCAAAAGAACGGGTTCGGGAAATACGCAGTCGGGCTTCACAATCCGACATCCGTTACAGTCTTTCAATGACTCGCAGCTGCCACGATGCCAATCTATCCATGATGTTGAAGGCCTGTCCCTAAACTGCACGCTTGCCCCCTGGCCTCTTGGGACGGCGCCCTGGCAGCTCCAAGGCACTTGGATTCACGCTGCTAACATATTTCGGCTCGGGGCTGTCAAAAGCTGATCCGGGTGATTCGGGATTCGGCGTTCCGTCAAAATCCTGGACCGTGACCCTCAGAGTGTGATAAGCCCAGATGCTAGAATCTGCTAGAAGGGGCCAAGGAAAACAAACCAGTGCATCCAACAGAGAGCACTATCCACGCATGTCCTCTCTGCCACGATACGCTGACCTCAAATCATTTCCAAAGCCTTGCTGCTCTCAAGCTTGTCGAAGCCACCGGGCCAACTCCCAACATTCGAAATCATGGCCCTGCCTTTGCGAGGACACGGCACGCCCGGTACCACCGGTGCAAAGTACACCTGCATAGCTGTGGATGGCATGGTCGGCTCTACCGGCTGCGCTATTCAACCCAAGTTCCACGAGCAGCTTTGTGGCATCCTGGTGCAGTATGTGTGAACTGTGCACATGTGCAGGCAGTGACGTCAGCGCCTTGTCAGCCTTCTCTGCAGAAGGGCCTTTGGAATCCAGGAACTCTCGCTCTCTCGCTCTCTCGCGCGCAGTCTGTGTCTTCTTCTTCTTCTTCTTCTTCTTCTTCTTCTTCTTCTTCTTCTTCTTCTTCTTCTTCTTCTTCTTCTTCTTCTTCTTCTTCTTCTTCTTCTTCTTCTTCTTCTTTTCCTTCTTCTTCTTCTACTTATGCTTCTACTTCTACTTCTCCTTCCACTTCCACTTCCACTTCCACGTCCACCTCCACTTCTTCTTCTGCACAGCGAAGAGGCCCCCCCTTGCGGAAGGACGCCGGCCACGATGGCCCGCTGTTCCGGAAGTCTCCAGTCTCGTGTGAAAGCGGATTCCCCTGGTAGGCGTCCCGGGTTGGGAGGTTTTTGCCTCTGTTCGGTGGGCCGGTGGGGTCAGTCTCTCTCTCGCTCCCTCTCTCTCGTGCTCTCGTGCTCTCTCGCTCTCTCGCTCTCTCGCTCTTCGCTCTCTCGCTCTTCGCTTCACTTCACTTCACTTCACTTCACTTCATGAGGGCCGAAGCCCCCGCGCGATCCGTGCGCCCCAGAATTGTGGAGCGATGGCATTGAGATACTTGTGGAGTAAGGGAACAGTGGAGGGTGGCATGGGAATTAACAACCAAACTAGCCGACAGCCTAACCGATCCACGCCCCCTTTCCATGAGACTGAGGCCCAGGCCGTTCAAGTTTGCCAAACACAAACAACCTGCATGACCCTGGAGCTGTCCGACCCATCTCTCTCTCTCTCTCTTTCTGACACCTCTCTCTCTCTCTCTCTCTCTCTCTCTCTCTTTCTCTCTTTCTGTAGCGACAGAGCGCAAATCCGCAGGATGCTCAACTGCTAAGCAGCCCACCGAACAAGGGTGATGATGTTCTCCAACAGACGCCCTTGAGGCTCGCATCAAGCCTGGCACGCTGAGTCTCCCCCGTAAATTGGCGAGAGTCCCGCACAACTTCTGCGAAGGGGCTGGGGAGGGCTGTTACACCAGATGTTGAACCCGCGCTGGAACCTGCCCCACTGCACTTGGGAGGGTGAACATTTGACCAAGGAGCAAGTACGGATGCGGCCGCGCTCGACCTTTCAGCTGCGGTGGCGGCTGTGGCGGTGGCGCCGTCTCCTTTCTTGAGGCTGATCGCAGCGGAGCACTTCGGGAGACGAGGCCTTGAAGCTTGGGGAGCTGTGCCGGAAGTTCAAGAAGTAGCTTGGGGACCCCTTCCCCAAAGCAGGATCCATGACTCTGCCCGGGCAGGCACCTGTTGCGTTGAGGTTCTTGATTCTTGATGTTCTGTTCAGGATCGTTGAGTTACCGGACTCCGGCGAGGAGAGGGGTTGGGCAGGGGGGGAGCGACGTGACCGCTGCGAAATCCGCCCCTTGGAGTGTGGAGGGCGTACACCCTTGAGACATCCACCTTAAGCAGTCGATGCATTCGCACGTTCCGAGCAAACCCCCGGTTCCCAGAGGCCCTGTGATTCGTTAACCTGGCTGGGAACCCTTCGAACGCCTCGTCACGCGTGCCATGCGCCACGAAAAAGCGGTAACCCGGAGTCTCTGGGACGTTTGCACTTTGGCCCTCCTAGGGTCCCAAGTCCTTGATTTTGACCCGGAAAAGAAGGAACCGGAAAGCAGGACAGGCTGAGGGATGGACTGCGGCTTCACCGTTTCTGAAGTCGGCGGCTGGGCGAAATCTGACAGCTGAGGTTTAGGGCGGCTAGGAGCTTTTGGGGCATTTGGGGCTTGGGGCGGAGTTTGGAGGGCTGAGTGGTCTGAGGTTGTGGGGGTTCGGGGTGAAGGGATTTTGGGTTCAGGGGGCGCTCGGCTGACAGATTTTGGAGGCAGCGTTTTGGGTGGTTCGGGGGGGTTCTGAGGTCTTGAGGTGGCCCCTCCGACCTGGCAGGGCGGGCACTGCGCTGGCGTTCTGAGGAGTCGGCCTCGGAAGGCTTTGCGGGCTGGAGGGCTTAGGAGGGTTCTGGGTTGAGGGTCGAGGGTCAGGTCCATGCAGTCTAAATCTCGACATTGACTTGCAGGCCTGGGAACTTCTTGTTTCAGAGTTTCGTCATGGGACTGTTGGGGCCACATTTATCACACACACCTCTACGTCTTTCATGGACTCCTAATTATCCCGCACCAAGGTCCATACAGTCCTTCCCCACATTGACTTTGCAGGCAAGGGAACTTATTGTGTCAGAGTTTCGTCATGAGTCATTACCTCTTTCACGGACTTCCATCCCGCACCTCCGTGAAGGTGGAGGGCATCGAGGGGATCGGCGGCAAGGAGGCTTTGGAAGCCTTGTGCCTTTCAAAGAGACGCAGCTTTCCTCAACTGCACACAAAACAAGAGAATCCCCGTCACAATGCTGTGGTACAACGCCTGTCCGATGTTGGCTCCAGTGGTAGCCGGCTAGCCATTCTTAATGTGGGGTGTGATTCTGTCGCAGCCTGTTCCAAGCTCCGAAGCACTGCCTGACTGAAGAGGCCTTTCTAGGGCATTTGCCGAAAAGCCGCACAGTCCACCTGCAACCCTTCATAAGGGCCTGCTTGAGATGCCACTCTATTTGAATAAGGGGCATGCTACAAAGTATTTGGGACAGTGGGGGGGTATGCAGTTTGACCAGCAGCCTCGTATTCCAGACCTTTCGTTGCGCATCTGGCTTCAATGTGCCTGCACTAACGCTGAACCAAGCCCGGAGGCCTAGGGTCCGTCGAGGTCATCGTCGCCTTCGTGCTGGCAGCCCGCAGCTGACTTTCATGCTCTCTGGAAGTTCAAGCTGAAGCTAAAGCTTAGGGCTCAGGAGTTTTGGGTGTTGTGCAACACAGCTTCTTCAGGGACTCAGCTCCCACTTCGTCCTACTTGGCCCGGGTCAGTGGCGAAGGGCCCGCAACTGATCCCAGCGTGAAGATACTCCACAAAGTGCTGTTAACCCAACAACATGAATTTGCACCGCGGACAGCACCGCCCCGCTCTTCACAAGTCCGTTCTCGTATTGCTCATACTCATACCCTACAGCCCTACGGTGCCTTCTCGATTGGGGGCAGGATGAACTCGGCGTGGCCTCGCCCGCGAACCATCCTCGCGAACAAGAACGAACCACTTCGACGTCAAAGGAAACTCTACTGACGAAATGATTCTTGGCAGCTTCAATGCGCATTCGCAATTTCAATTGTTCTTTAGCCAAATGCGCCGGGTGGCCCGCATGCTACTACTCATGGTCGTCCAAAAAAATAGTCACCTTGCAGCGTCGGGTAGTTCGTGGCATCCCCATGTTGTCGAGGGCTTCAGGCACATGGGTTGTGACATCCACCACGTGCTGTTGACAGTCATCGTTCACGTTCACGGTTAACGAACCCTTGGACTACTCTCTTGACTCTCTTTGAATGAGTTGATCCTCCCCGCCAGCCAGCAAGCGACGGTCGAGCAACCGTGTGGGCATCCACAAGTCTTTCAAAGTCTTTGTCCAACGTTTCATGTGTCTTGGGTGTCACACCTTTGACAACACTTGTGCAGCTGTCAGTCTTCGGTTGTCTCCGCTTTCTGAGCCAAATCTGGATCACAGCAACTTCTGCAGATGGTCAGCTTGCCACTTATTCGCAGAAGTCTGCTTTTCCATCCGAAGCAATGCGTCACGGACTCCCCGAGCCACATTGTTGGTAGCACACCTGCACTTTGCAATTGGAAGGCTGACCACTCGGTAGGGAAGGCATCGTACGTGATAGACTGGGAAGAAGAGAAAGCCAGCGAGCGGACCGCTGAAACAGATTTTTGCAAGACTCGACCAGACATATGGGCCATGTTGATGATCCCTCTTTCTACGCGTGCAGCATTGCAAGACGAGATTTTGTCCACGGCTTCAGAATAAATCACAAAGTGCCCTAATAGGACACTTCAGCTGTACAGGACGATTCGGACAGGAGCTTGGCACCACCTGCGTGCTGGCAATTAAGTTTATAGTCAAGAACAGATTGCTCGGTGTTTAGGAGGTCCGCTGTTCCGGTTCCACAGCTCGACGGCGAATACGCGACTTGCCAATCGTGCTCTTCTCTACAATCTCCGCTCCTGGAATTCCAACGAAACCATGCTGCTTAGCAGCCAAGTGCAGCAAATTAAAAAAAGTGGGGTTTGCGATATTAGGGGTACTTTTTGGGGTCCGTATTCTAAGGGGATCCCTGTTATTTGGGGGTCTGTATTAGGGGTCCCTTCAGTTCGTAAACCTCCAAGTAGCTGGCAGCGGCTGGCGCTCCTCTTGGCTCGGGTCAGGAAGAGATGAAAGATGCCCTAAAAATTCTGGGAAAGGACGCATCAAAACCATCGAGTTTGTTCCAGAGCTGGAGCCCGTGCTGCCTTTTCGAAGCTCATGACTTCAATTCCGCTCATTTTCCAGAGCAATTTCGACCACTTTTGATTTGGAGTATCGTACACATCACATCTCCCTTAGCCCACAGGACCTCTTCTTGTCGCTTTCAAATGCCTTTTCATAGACTTATGACTTTATGATGCTACGATGACACGATATGGGGACCCCTAATATAGACCGCCAAACAGTAGGATGCCCCTAAGGGCCCCAATAAGGTACCCCCTTATTATCGTAAACCACCCCCCCCCCAAATTCGCAGGCAAACAGGGGCTCTTGCACTCAGAGCTCTGTGCACTCACCGCAGGCTTCTCGAAACGAGAAAGGCTTCAGGTCGGTGGGACCAAAGCGACTGCGAGCCTGTCAGAAATGATGACTTTAACGGGTTTAGGGCTTAGGGTTTAGGATTTAGGGTTTAGAATGATAGCAACAGCAAGAACGGTAACAATATTCGTAACGAAAGCTTCCCAGTCAGCCCCTTCATGCAGGGGAGTACAGCATGTGTGCCTGTTGTAAGGTTTTTTGGAGGGCGTATGGGGATGTCATCGCTTTCTGGTTCTTAGTTGGGAAGTCTGGGGGAGAAAGAATCCCAGGTCACCCAAATCACACGAGCATTCCATTTTGAAGGACTATCTAGGTGCAGTACTAGGTCCATGCCCGACAGGATTCGCTGCATCACCGCCCAATGCTTTTTGCCTTTTGCCCCAGCCTGCTGGATAAACCGAAGCTGATCTCTGAGATAGCCTTGGTGCGGATGCTCGTGCTTCGATGTGGCGACGAAGCGCAAGTAGGGCACGACGGCCGAATCTGATTTAGACTACGTGAAGAGCCTTTAGAAGAGATCGAGATCTGATGATTGGACTCCTGTGGACCCTGTGCTTGTTGGTCCATGATGGGGGGGTGGGGGTCATCACCCATGCACGCATGACAGGCTTCGAGTGGCCATCCATGTCCATGGACGAATGCCAGCTTCGATGAAGCTGGTGGTGGATGCTGCGGCGGTCGAATCCTGGCAGGCTGGTGCTAATCAACTCCGGAAGGCGAATTGCCTGTCCCCTGCTTGAGACTCTGGGACATGACCGAACTGTGCGACCAATGTGGCTTACTCGTGTCAAATCGAACGATCCCAGCTACCACACACTTATCCGAGCACCCAGCCTGATGCGGACGAGTTGGCCCTGCTTTTGGAAACCTCCAGGCACCATTCAAACCGCGACTAGGCCAGCGCAGTAGGCTACAGCAGCATTAGGATGGTGGAATTGCATGAGCCCGGTGCTCTGCAACTGAATCTGCACTCGGACACTCGCCTTCAACGATCTCGCAACCGGGCACGCGGGTCGCAAAGCCTGGGATCGGCAAGACATGCTACTCGCATCCGGCACTTGGAGGTTTATGGTACACATTAGCCAATTAGAACTGCACTTAGAACCCACTCATAAGCCCCTTAAGTGCCCTTAATAGTGTTATAAGTACAGTTCTATAACCCCTGCACATCAACTCGGTGAACTAAGCAAATTGAGCTGCCAAGCTATTGATCTGGACTTCGCACGGCAGAAGGAATCGGATTGACAAAGGCACTGCGCCTTCCTCTGAAACCTGCAAAGCATCTGTAAGCCCTGGAAGCCTTGAATGGGCCCCCTAAACTCTGCTATTCCCAGGCCACGTGGCCGCGCCGACCCTTGCCGTGAGCCTACTTCGCTGGTCCAGGAGATCGCTGAGGGATCGCAGCCGCTCAATCTCGCTGCTAATCCTTGGAGGGGGTTAGGCAGGTAATGATCTGCAGAAATTCTTGGGCGGGGGGGGGGGGGGGGGGGAACTGGGGGCTGTTGTTTGTGCTGCTTTCTCTGCGTAACTTACAGGATTCATGTTTTCTAGCGCAGCATCGGCCCCGGAAGCATCATCCTACACCCAAACTCAGAGGCTAGGGCATGTGAAGGACCTTTCCAAGAGGATGAACAGCAGATAGCACTGACTGGCTCGCCAGCTCTCCTTCCGACACTTGCAATCCAAGGCACAGCAGCTTCCCAGACCGCACAGCTGAGTCGCCTCAGATCATGGACTTCTCGATGAGCACAAGCCAAGCTTGACGCGTCATGAACTAAACTTGGGCCGGATACAAGAGGCTCTGGTAAAGTGGGCGTGCCTGGCGTTAAGCGTTTTGCAGTAGAGGCGTGGTCTCAACCATGTTCGATCCAGGTGGGCAGTAATGTTCGAGGAACATGTTCACCAAGGAGCTTAGAATGTGCAATTGTACGAGAGTTCGTGCCCTAGCGACCTGTGCTGAACTCTACTGACACTTCTGGACAGTGCTCTGGCATTAAGTTGCTGGAGCCTCCACAAGCTCTTCTCAGCTGGAGGCAAGGTGTTCGCGGGTGTGTGTCCTTCTCTGTGTATTGCTTTGCGGCACAGCAGCGCTACTGGCTCTCGTTCTCAGCCGAGTTACTCTTGAGGCCGAAGTTGGCGATTGAGCGTAGCTCCTTGAGAGGCTTTTGGGGCGGCCGAGGTGTGGCATCTTGCGGTCTTCAGGGTGCTGTTTGCTTAGCAAACGTCGCGACTCTCCACTTGTCAGGTTCTCAGAGGCATCCATGCTGAAAAACAAGAGCCCGACAGCAGTGGCCTCTTCGCCACACAGGCCGCCTTCAGCAGCGCTCTGCGCCAAAGGACCCTCCTGGGAGCGCCATCATCTGCTCTGGTCGTCTTTAGCATGGAGGAGCTCATGAACCCGGACCTTTCTGTCGGGCGCCTGGTTGGCCAGCTGCGGCTTCGCAGCGCCCTGTTGAGGGAGGATTTTGCTCTCCGACAAGGGGCCCTATGGCCCTATAGATCTCCACAACAGACATCCGATATTGCTGCGCACCCTGTATTGGCTCGCAAAGCACTCTTGCGGTTCCTTAGTGGGAGCTAGGTACCTTGTATCCTCTGTATCCACCAAGCCAAAACACAAAGGGTACCTCCAAATTTCCAGATCCCCCCGGCTGTAAGCTGAGGGGTCTGGGAAGTCCGTCATGACTCGCGACCCTGCTCCCCGAGCCCTCGGGAACCCGACACCAGAAATCAGAAACGGCTCGCAGCCTCATGCAGCATACGGAGCAACTCCTCCAAACGGCGGCAGCGCCTCTTCGTTGCAGGGTGCTCCCTCTCTCCCGGGCCCTCAATCCTAGCAACCTAACGCCTGAAGTAACCGGAACAACCCAAAAGACATTAAAATATCCTCAAACACCCCACCACCCCGAGTATCCCTACATTACCCCTGAGCCTTCAACATCGTTAACCCAGCCAAACCTTGGGCTGGGACCCCCGAGGAGGCCCGGCTCAGAGAGATCTTTGGAAAGAAGGGCAAGGGCTGTGCTTCGGCCTTGGGCCGAAGCTGCGCTTTTTGATGCCTACATTTTCTTTTTATATGTTTGTTATTGTCGTCGTCGTGGTCGTCGTCGTCGTCGTCGTGAGGTGGGGGGTGGGTGGGGGGGGTGGGGGTGGGGTGGGGGCGTGGGGGTGGGGGTGGGGGGTTGGGGGCGTGGCGTGGGGGTGTGGGCGTGGGTGGGCGTGGGGGTGGGGGTGGGGGTGGGGGTGGGGGTGGGGGGTAGGGTTTCGGGATGTTAGGGTGTTCAGAGGGGGGGGTTGTGTTCGGAGGCAGACAGTTCTTTGGACCTGGCAACGGACCCTGGCTCAGAAGACTGGATGCTCTCGGCCTGGCCTCAGAAGAGTCGTGATCCTTCAGGGCTTCTGCTGCTCCCTTCGGGCTCAGAGAGGTCAGGGACCGGTGATGCAAAGGCTTCGAAAGCTGAGTGGCTTTCTTGCAAGTGCCATATGAGCAACTTTCATCAGGTCCCAACCAAAAGAAACCCCCCCATGGAACCCCCCTGACCCCCTGACCTCTAACCTGCAATTCGATTCTGAACGTCTCCTTAGCGCTTCGGCAGCGGCATCGTGCAAGGCCTCCTGGGCTCAAACGTGTCAAGGGTACTACTTAGCATCACTCAGATATCGGATCGTCGAATCATGGGCCCTTAGCATAAGACGAAACGATCCTCAAGCAGGCAGCACCCGAAGCGATGAGGATTCAGGAGTATGCAGATGCAGAAAAAAGCAGAAAGCAGCTGCAGAATACTTGCAGGATCCTTAGGCCAGTCTCGTCTCGGCATGTGATGGGTATTGAACTGCCAAGTTCGAAGCCGTGACGCTTGGAAAGGAAGAGTACAGATGGAGCCCTCCTGACACGTGGCTACTATACTATAATATACTTGTGGCACATTGATGATTGCCTTTCTGGCAGTATCTCTCCTTGGACCAAGATCGACCGAAGGTCTCGCTCTTACATTCTGGAGCGGGTGAGACTCCGAGAGCTGAGCGCGAGAAACCCGACTCTGATATGGTTGACCCGTAACATGCTCTAGAAATCAAGATTCGCTCAATCGCCCCAGATTCAAGCGCAGCTGCACACGTCTGTTACCCTGCCAGGCGTCATCCGCAGGCACTTCTGCGTGTGCAGCTCCAGCCAACTGTCCTGTTCATGCGAATCGAATTTGCAACTTGAAGCCGATTCATCAGGATGATGAACCAGCAAGCAAGCCCTGATCTTTCGTCAAATGCCATGCTCAGCCCACAATCTTCTGCCCGAAGTCCAACACATGCTGCGAGGCCCCTGCAAAACCAGGGCCCCGGCGTTCTAGCTGCTGTAAGGTCTCGAAGGAATCCCGCCTCTGCTCGCTCCTCCCTCGAGCTCTCGATCCGCTTGCCCAGGCTTCTTCTCAATGAATTGTGTGACGATCCATGGTTCCGGACGACCCTGCGTTGCCCTTTGTGGAAGCTCAGGTGAAACTTTTAAGGCATATGCTCACCAAACCATGCCAAGCCGTGAGTTGTACCGGAATGTGAGTGTGACCGCGCGACCCCTTCTTTGCCAAAGCACAGGCTCAGGGGGATGGAGCTCAGTCCAGTAGGCCTCGACATGTGGCGCCAGCGTGGACGGCGTCGACTCTGGAAACTCACGCTGTATCGAGAAGAGCTCTTCGGGTCGAGGGAAGAGGGAGATATGTAGGGATCAGGGGATTTCAGGGCCCCTAGCCAACCCGCGCAGCCGCTGAGGCACTGGCTCGAAGCGCGTGGACATGTCCTCAACAATTGTGGGGTTCTTTGGGTGCTTTCGTAGGAAACTTTTGTATTAGAACCGCTATAAGCAGATAAGGTAAGGGATTAAGGTGGAGGGTTGGGCTTGTCGGGTTATTTTTCTGCAAGGATCCGCTTGATCAGTGTCGCACGTCTTCGACGCATCGAGGGGGCCGGCTGAAGTGTGAGCTCGCATGGACCTGGCGACATGGCGACAGGCCGAGGAGAAAAGCTGGCTTGAAAGCAAGACGCCCCAGACAAACCTGAAAACATCTGATGAACCCTGTAGCCTTCAAGTGATGTGATTGGCACAGTGCCTTGGTAAAGCTCACTGGGCCTCGAGCCAGCAATGCCGGATCAAGCCGCCCATGACCCTGTGAGAGCCTGGATGGGGACCGATGGTCATAATGACCCGGCTCATCCTCCAACCAGGTAACGTTGTTCGCCGGCTGGGAATCCTACGAGATCTGCGTGGCAGATGAATCGACGCTCGCGGCACAGAGCAACCAGCGTCATACGTGCATCTGATCGAGATGTGCAATGTGATAACCTGCCGTGTATTTGGGCTCAAGTCCTGCCGTCTGCTGCTGTGGAGGTCAAGCTGGTTCTGTGAGAGAGACAGGCACGAAAGCTCCTTGCTCAGCAGCAGATCTTTGTCTTGCACATGCTTGCGGGCCAATGAAGCAGCTTCCACAACAATACCTACAGGAGCTGTGTTGATGACTTCTCCCTCTAAGCAGGAGTGGCATGGAGAACCCGTTGTTTCCACTGCATGTCGGCTGGGCCCTCGCGCCGAAGAGAGCTGCTGGTGGACGTCCCGCGCCTCTGCTGCAGCCGCCTCTGCAGGCGAGGAACTTTCAAAATCTCCGACCAGACCCGTCCCTTGTTGTGTGAGGAAAGCTTTGCGTTGCCAAATGCATCAGAGCTTTACACTGCACACGCTGAGCATGAACAGTATGAACGAGTGAGTCGCAAGTCGTGGCACTTGGAGAACCAAGCAAGTACTGAAACTGAGCACATCGATCCGTCGTAGACACGCCATACCGAAGCAGAGGCCCTGGTCTGCCTTCCCCCTCCCGGCCTCCCCCCTGCCCTTATACTGATGACTCTGAGCATCTCTGAGCCTCAACGTCCACACCGCCGCCGGCCGCGAGGCTGCGGAGCTCGGCAGAGACGCGCCGCACTTCCTGTGCCTCAGCGGACTCGTTTGAGGCTTCCCGAAGTTCTTGTCGAAGGCTATAATAACATTTGGAGCCTTGGGAGCCCATCGCGCTCTGGGCCCAGCGCCATGGAGAAGAGAGTGGTGAAATCCATCCGCTTGGAATGCCTCCGACCTCACACTTTGAAGTGCTGACTCTCGCACACACACGCCACACACGATGCGTGCTGTCGACGGCGTCTACCTGAGCGCTTCGGCAGAGATCCGAGGCGGAGGAGTGCTGAGAGTGCACTGACCTCGCGCCAAGGCGGTGAGAGAATTCCTGCGTTCAAGCTCTCTATGAACCTTACGCCCCTCTCTGCCTGGCTTTTGATGAGCGCGCGCTGCTGGCCTCCAAGCAAGGCTTCCAGGGCCTCCCTACCTAGGATGGCCCTGAAAGGCCCCCTTTAAACATATTCCTAAATAGAACCCTCTTAACACCCATAAGGGAAAACATTAAATATCCCAAGGGCCTACCTAGCTGCCCTTCGCAGGCTCACGAAAAGCGCGCCTCGGAAAGGGAGCGGAAGGAGGTCGGCATGGCGGACGCTTCTTCGACAGCTGGTCGGCTTGCTGTTGCTCTGTTAAGGGGGGATGGGCTGTGCTGCACCTGGGTTTTACCCGAGGTTTACGGGTCCACAGGTGAGGCTGAAGGTAGATGGAGATCCGGCAAGGGAGGCTATGGCAAGGGGACACGAAGCCTGAGATACTGGGCCGCAATATGGGCACAGATCCTCCAAGAATTCTCTCATCCTAGGCATTCCTGGGCCACGGCATACGGCATCCCAGCCTTCGACGGGCTCACTTCTTTTTGGACCTCAGGGTCCGTTGAAGGGGAGCCGCTTGGGAACTATGGCATCGAGCTCTGCTCTGCGGTGTGGAATTGGACAGATCTGGTGGTAATATATATATATATATATATATGGTCACCCCCCCCCAATGGACCCACCGCGGGCCTTGATCTTTGCAAAAGTACCGCAAATACCGATAAAACCTATGCTGTCTGGTGATTTTCCGGTGACCGGATTTTTGACTGTATTCCTTAATTCACCCTCTCACACACGCACGGAGGGTTTTTCTTTCTGTTGGCATTTAAACCTAAGCCTGCAAAAAAAAAAACCTTAACCTTTAAACCCTGTAGGGTTAAGGTTTAAAGGTTAAGGGTTTAAGATTTAGGCATTTGAACCTATGCCGGTAATTAAAGCTAAGCCCTTAACCTTTAAATTCTATCGGGTTGAGATTTTTACAGGTTTAGGGTTTAAGATGTAGGCGTTTAAACCTAAGCCTGCAACTAATTTTAAACCCTTAACCTTTAAACCCTGTAGGGTTAAAGTTTAGAGGCTTAGGGTTTAATATCTAGCCATTTAAACCTGTAGCCAAGCCCTTAACCTTTAAACCCTATAGGGTTAAGATTTTTAAAGGTTTAGGATATAAGATGTAGGCATTTAAACCTAATTAAGCCTGCAACTAATTTTAAACCCTTAACCTTTAAACCCTGTTGGGCTAAGGTTTAAAGGTTTCGGGCTTAAGATTTAGGCATTTAAACCTATTCCGGCAATTTACGCTAAGCCTCTAACCTTTAAACCCTATAGGGTTAAGATATTTAAAGGTTTAGGGTTTAAGTTTAAGGTTTAGGTATGTAGACCTATGCCGGCAGTTCATATTGAACCCTTAACCTTAAACCCCATAGGGATGAGATTTAAAGGTTTAGGATTCTTTACTTAGACATTTAAATCCAAGCTGACGATTCAACCCAAACCCTTAACCTTTAAACCCTATAGGGTGAAGGTTTAAAGTTTTAGGGTTTAAGATTCAGACATTTAAACCTAAGACAGCGATTAACACTAAGCCCTTAACCTTTAAACCCTATAGGGTTAAGGTTTAAAGGTTTGGGGTTTAAGATTCAGGCATTTAAAGCTAAGTATGTAATCAATTTGTCACCCTTAACACCTCTAAACTCTGTAGTGTGAAGGTTTAAAGGCTTAGGGTTTAAAAAAACCTAAGCCCCCTAAGCCCATAGAGTTTAAACCTTAAGGGTTTAAGGTTTACGCATCTATTCCTTAACCCTAAACCCTCTAGGGTCAGGACCCTAAAGCCCTCGGCAATCAAGCCTAAACCCTTGACCTTCAAACCCCATAGGATGAAGGTTTAAAGGTTTGGGGTTTAAGACTTAGGCATTTAAACCTAGAGGGCATTTAAGCCTTAATCCTAAACCCTTTAGGGTCAGAACCTTAGCACCCTATAGGGGTCTAGCACGTTCAAAGGCTTGAACCCTACAGGCGCTGAAGGTATACATGTCCTATCGGTTTTTAAACCATTACACCCTGTAAGAAGGTTTAGGGTCTTTTCGGGGTCTATCTCTAAATTTCTCACGGGGTTAACCCTGCAGGGTTTAAAGTTAAAGGTTTAGGGTTAAAGGTTAAGGCAATACCTATAGGATTAGAACCTTATAACCCTGTAGTGCATGAGGCTTAAACCTCTAAAACTTAACCATCTTTTTCTCGAGAAAACCAAAAAAACCAAAAAAACCAAAAAAACCATCTTTTCCAAAACTATGGGGCTGGGGCCTCCAAAAGATGGTTTTTTTGGTTTTCTCGAGGAAAAAGATGGTTTTTTTGGTTCGAAACCATCTTTTTCTCGAGAAAAAGATGGTTTTTGAGCAGCCGCTCTTCGAAAAACCATTTTTTACTCGAGAAAAAGATGGTTTTTAGAGATCTTACCCTGGAAAAACCATCTTTTTCTCGAGAAAAAGATGGTTTTTTGAGGTCTTGTCCTGGTAAAACCATCTTTTTCTCGAGAAAAAGATGGTTTTTGGAGGTCTTCTCCTGGTAAAACCATCTTTTTCTCGAGAAAAAGATGGTTTTGCGAAGGATGGTTGCTCAAAACAATCTTTTTCTCGAGAAAAAGATGGTTTCGAACCAAAAAACCATCTTTTTCTCGAGAAAACCAAAAAAACCAAAAAAACCAAAAAAACCATCTTTTCCAAAACTATGGGGCTGGGGCCTTCAAGAGATGGTTTTTTTGGTTTTCTCGAGAAAAAGATGGTTTTTTTGGTTCGAAACCATCTTTTTCTCGAGAAAAAGATGGTTTTTGAGGAGCCGCTCTTCGAAAAACCATCTTTTTCTCGAGAAAAAATGGTTTTTGGAGATCTTGTCCTGGAAAAACCATCTTTTTCTCGAGAAAAGATGGTTTTTTGAGGTCTTGTCCTGGTAAAACCATCCTTTTCTCGAGAAAAAGATGGTTTTTGGAGGTCTTGTCCTGGTAAAACCATCTTTTTCTCGAGAAAAAGATGGTTTTTAGAAGAGCGGCTGCTCAAAAACCATCTTTTTCTCGAGAAAAAGATGGTTTCGAACCAAAAAAACCATCTTTTTCTCGAGAAAACCAAAAAAACCATCTTTTGGAGGCCCCAGCCCCATAGTTTTGGAAATGATGGTTTTTTTGGTTTTTTTGGTTTTTTTGGTTTTTTTGTTTTTTTTGGATTTTTTTGGTTTGTTGGTTTTTGTTAGTTTCTTGTTTTGTTGTTTTTTGCCTTGATCTGGCTAGGACTCGGCTGCCATCCGCGGTGGGTCCATTGGGGGGGGGTGAGCTATATGGTCACCCCCCCCTATATATATATATTTATTTATATTTATATTTATATCTATATTTATATTTATATTTATATTTATATTTATATTTATATTTATATTTATATTTATATTTATACATATATATGTATACTAAAATATTCTGTTAGACTTTTCGAATCATTCTGGAGGCCTGGGTCTCGGGCTTATGGGGGAAATATGAGCTTACCCCACCCTCATCCTCCCAAAGAGCCAGCTTCCCCCACAAACCTTCGCACTCCGAATCTCCGTTTCCGTCTCTACCCTCCGACCCCAAGTAACTCTCAGGCTCTGCAAAGTTGATAAACAATTTGTTCTGGATCCGAACATGCCCACAGGGATCCAAGAGGCTTGGCTCTTGTCTTTGTGCCTGTTGTCTTGCTTTACCCTCGTTTCTTAACACGGCCAACATGCACTTTAGAGGTTGGGAAGTTTCCCCTTTATACCAACAGCCCGACTATAATCCCGCTTCAGGGCTGTTAGCATAAGGGGAAGATCCCACTTTAGAGGTATCAAATCTACGCTCGGGCAAATGCCATGGAAAAAGCAACCATAAACCTGTCGAGCGCTTCTGCGACCCTCACTCAACTCCAAGGCTGCAAAAACACCCCGAATCCTGAACACCAGAATCCCAAGCTCTCCAGAAGAGAACCAGGTAGGAGAAGCTGGCCGAGACGCTTCTTCCGGGAGTTTTTGGAGCTGTTGCGCGCCAGCAGCCTCCGTCTGAGAAAAGAGCAGCAGAGTCATCACCCTAAACCCTAAACCCTAAACCCTAAACCCTAAACCCTAAACCCTAAACCCTAAACCCCTTGAAAAGAGCATTTGCAGGGTTGCCACCGTTTTGGGGATTGCCACTCGCTGCACAGCATGCTCCGCCGCCAGGGGGCTCCAGCGCCAAAGACACCAGCTCCCGCTTCTCGATGCACCTTTCCCCGACGGCAGCAGACCCTAAACCCTAAACCCTAAACCCTAAACCCTAAACCCTAAACCATCCCTAAACCCTAAACCCTAAACATCCCTAAACCCTAAACCCTAAACATCCCTAAACCCTAAACCCTAAACCCTACACCCTAACCAAAGAGTAGGGGGGGGGGGGGGGGGGATCAGAGCTCGCAGCGAACTCCACAGGCACCAAGCCTTTAAGTGACAGTCCTTTTGCCACGGCACCGGCTGATGACCGATGGGTCAGCTCCAAGATACCTTACCTGGCGCTGAGCGTCGCGGCTCTTGCAAGGCCGAACTTGGGAATCAGGGCTCCCAAAGCCCAGATTCCGGGGAGGAGGGGGGGAGAGGAGAGGAATCCAGGGAAGTGCCCAGCAGTCCCATATTGCTCCAAATGACACCCCGAGACCTACCTGAAGCTTCGGGGAGGGATCTTCGCTTCGCGCCTTTGCCCTCAAAACGGAGACGGAGAGGCCCTCGAGCCTTTCGTCAGGACTGCCGCGGCAACGACAGCAGACCCGTGGCATGAAGTACAGAAAACTGTG